TAAATTAGCATGTGGTCAAGTTGTATTCCTACTTCTACCTCTCAGAGAGCGAACACAGAACTGATTTTTCCAATTTATCACTCTCTTTCTACTAAGAAAGTCCCATTCAATATTCCTTCTTTGTATACCGTGTTCTGCAATATTAGTTCCATCTACACGATGCTGGATTTTTCCCTAACAGCTTCATGAAATACATGGTAATTTTGGTATATTTCATTGCTTTACAACAAATGATTCTGAATGCACACGGAAAATTAAAACAAATAGTTCTTCTCCTCCTGGCATTATCTATTTGTTTGCTTTAGCTACTTTATATTCTTAACTGTCAGATCTAACATTTCAGTAGTGCTGTGAACACTGTGTTACTAGGGGAAAGAAAGAAGCACAGCCTATCAATGACAGCTGTGAGGCTATCAACTGTTGAGTTCAGAAGGTAGAACGGACTCCTCTACAACTCAACCATGAGTGCCCTCGACAATTTCAGATACTGCTGGCTAAACTTACAAAACAGAACTAAATGCAAGGTTGTTATTGCTCTGGCCCATATTGAATAGCTAAAAGACAGCATTATTCTTGGCTTCCAATATAAACCAGGAATTTCGGAGAACCCTAGAAGACAGAGTATACTGTTTAAGATTGGCTGAACAATTTCTTTGCCTGTAAAAGTCTCCCAGAAATTTCTTTTCACCATAGTTTTTTCTTTTAAAAGATGTTGTATCCAAAAACAAAGACAATTTGCGCTAAAGGGCATACTTATAACATGTAGAAGTACAAATAAAGCCCAGAAAACCAATAGGCTGCTAATTTTATTGAAATAGAAGCTACTTGCTCAAGTAAAATTCCTTCAAACAAGTGGAACTAGAAATGTATATTTCTCTTTATATAATGGTTACATTTGTATTTAGTAAACAAGATGAGGAATGTAAGACACAGAGGTTAGGTGGCATGATAAGAGTAACATGGATTCTGCATTCAAGTTCAGAGTAAGGTTGCCCAATTTCAGATTATGATGTTTCAGCCTAAATTTCTACATGCTACAATGTCACTAAGCTCTATGTCATAAGGTTGTGCTGCACAGCAAAGAAAATATGCAGGTATTATAAATTAATCTCTCAAAAAGCTGCAATCCAGGTTAAAAGGTGAAACTACCAAATCACTAAAATCCAGAGGTAAAGGATAAAGACTGTCCTAAGTGTTACAGATAACACACTTTGGCTATTTAGTGGAAAAGATTGACTTCTAGGTAAGAACATGGAAAAAGCTTTCCTAGAGGAGGCTGCACCGTGATGAGGGATGACTCTCAATTTAGAATGGGTAATAATTAGTACTGAAGATACAGTATGGGTGTTTTATAAGCAATATCAGAGTAAGGTAATGAACTATAAGTATTAGCTAGTCAAGTAATATATTTCGATTTCAACTTCATAAAATAGCATAAATGAACCAAATCAACAGAAAATCTAGTATAGATTTATTCAAACTAATCAGGACAAATAAGAGAAAGTGACTGTTCATATCCAATCAAAGGAATGAATCACACCATGGGTTAAGAAGGCAGTCACTCTAAAGCAAATCACAAAAGTCCCTCCCTCTTCCTTTGTCCCCACCCGCACCAAAGAATCCTGCTGCAAAAGTGGTTTCAATGATTCCTGCAGTAAGAATGGTTTCAAGCAGAGAACCCAAAAGGTAAATTTGAGCATCCAGGTTACCCAATACTGTATTTACCTTTTTCACTTTAGTATGGGCCACCTAAATTCTAATTTCTCATGGAAATAATCTTTGTGGTTCAGCTCTTTTTCCAATCATAATCATTTGGATTCATTAGCATTTTTTGGGCTAAAAATGAAAGTATTTAAAATAAATGTAGAAGCAGGATGGGGAATTTTACCAAACGTTCAGGTTTGCAATGCACCTCATTCTTAAAAATAAAATTAAATAAATAAATGAGAGTCTTCAGAAAACTACGTAAAATATTAGTACGGACCAAAAGATAGAGATCAGAAGATGGCAAAAAGTGAATACAGTGAAGCTAAGCCCTGTGGCAATTTCAGGAACATAAGGAAAATTGTTGGAGTTCTCTTTCTCCCTGGTATGTTTTTGAAAGAAAAAAGTCATTCTCATGGGAGAGTAACACAAAAAGGAAAGGGGGAAACAGCTGGCTGTGAGCCACGGATTTACCATTCACCACAAAAGGAGAGTCTGTTTCTTAAAGGCCATTTTTTTTTTCAAACAGACCTAGACTCTACTTAACAGTGTCAATTATGATGAGAAACTTAAGATACAAGAAAAAGTTCCGAATGACTCACTTAAAAGACAAAAGCATGAACATAAAAGTCAAATTCTGTTCTAAAATATGACCAAAGCAAAAACTCTTGTATAACCAAACTCTCCCCCACATCCTAGCAACAGCTCACTTACTTTAACAAAACAAAATATAGCAAATTGTAATTATGAAAATCCCTTGTCTTTGTGATATAGTGAGGCCTTAACTGGTAGTTAGTCCAAATTTATTGAGATGAGGTGGATGAGCTCTCCCTTTATAAACTAAGAATCTTACAATAGTATCATCCACTTTGGTCATTGGATAGTAAAGCCAACTCGCTTTAACTTGTTTTATATGAAATATCAGTGGAAAAAAATAACATTTTTTACCTGCCTGGGGAAATGCCTTATGAAATCAACATAGTATGAGTACTTTTAAAAGAAAAAAAACCTCCATGTACCTGAAAACACTAGTCAAATTTAGTTTTATTTAAATGATTGTGTCTTTGTTTCAACTTTCAACCTACCTTTTCTCAGGATGCACTCAACTTATTACCTTTTCTGATATAACCAAGTCAAAATAGAAAAGTAGGTATCAAAGTAAAGAGTAGCCTCTGCAGATAAATCAAGGATAACTGTAATCTTTTCTTTAAAAAAATTCTAACAGGCATGTAAGGTTATTTTGAGGTTATGGTTAAGACTGTGAAATTTATGCCTGAGATTTCCAAACTGTTTTGTACTGCAAAACTTTTTGTTCAATCCACTGAAAATCAAACCCATTATGAGTTATTTGCAGAGTAAGGATGTGGCTGGCAGTCAAAATGGGCATCCCTGTCTCCAATTTACAGGCTGAAGACTTTGTTCTAAGAATCACGACCAATCACAAGGAAATTTTTTATGTCATGGGATTACCTATCTTTAAACTGCAGATCTTTTTTCTTGGGGTGGAGTCAGAAGAGGAAGATAGAGAAGGTTAAAATTTTTGGTTGAAAGATATCCTTTTAAAGTAAAAGGGAAATGGAAGAGGGAAATTATGCCATGATGTCAAAGGCATTATTTATCATAACCTACATTTTGAAATTTTAGTATTAATATTTTGATTTTTCCCTTAAAAACACATAGAATTTGAATTTTTCATTTCAGAATTATTCTTTGTCTCAGAGTTTATAAAACACTTTCAGGTATTTCCCTCACACACACCACCTCACCCACTATCAAAATTCCACACCAGATGAGTATATTACAACTGATGAAATGATAAATTACTGTCTCCAAAATTCATAGTTTCATTAGAATATTCCTGATACTGTACATTCTATAGGTTTTGAGAAATGTATAATGATACATATCCAACATTATAGTATCATACAAAATAGTGCTACTGCCTTAAAAATCCTCTGTGCTTTGCCCATTCATCCCACCTTTCCCCTAAAGGACGCTAAGTTCTACAAAGCCATGTTTAATTAATATTTATAACCAACGACATGACCCACAAAATTTTAGATAAGTACTAAGTTTAGTAGCTCTTACATACATGAAAATAAAGCAGTGTTCATGAACACCTTAACTACATAGCAAAAAAAAAAAAATTACAAAAACAGTATTATTTAACAGATATCAAACAGGAAAACACAATTATCCCATTCTTAGAATTTACATCACGTTTTCTTGTCTTTGGATTCCCTCTGAAAACTAAGTTTGTCCTTAAAAGATGAAGGAACTGTTTTCTCAGTGCAAATTTTATTGGTTCACAGGTTCCTTAAACCAACACTTTCTATTTGCATACAGTTTTAAGGATTCAATTCTGGGCAAAGACAGAATTAATGTTCAAAGTCATAAAGTCTGCCTTCTGGAAGATGAAATAATTATAACACTGGCAACCACATGTGAGCTAGAGAAGAAAAATGACTTGTCTCTACTTTTCCCTTTCTTACTCTGCACAGCTTCCTTCCCTATTTGATAAGAGACTGGTTAACTTAAATTTGGTGTAAAGTAAATAGGAGCAATTCCCTGGAACAGGACCTATCACACAGAATAGCACCCTCGAATGTGATATCAGATTTCTCACATTTCTCCCAGGCGACCCGAGGCCCCACACCCATAGGAAGCTCGGACAGGGCCTAAACTCCAGCTGTCCGGGAACCTTCAGGCTGGAAGTGTTCCCGGCCCTCAGCACGGGTGACAATCGCTGATGGTGGCCAGCTGCCAAAGACGGAGAGTGTATTTCCCGAGCGATGACTCCCTAAGGGGGAGCCATGCTCTGGTGATCCCGTAATGAATGAACACACACATGGAAAGTCATCACCTCACAAGTTATCAGCAGCGGCTGGCGCGAAGCAATCGCAGCAGTCAGCGCCCATTCCAGGGCGCCTGGGGGGTCGAGGTGGAAGAGGGGAGAAGGCGAAGAGTGTCATAGCCTCCCCAGCCCCCCTACACTGCTGAGGTTGGATCGCGTTATTTCCTGTGACAGGAAGGAGTGGCACGGTCTCGCCCCCAATTGCCCTAACCTCGACTTTTCCCTCCGGCGAGGCAGAGTCGCTACGGAAACACTTCCAGGAAAGTTTCAAACCTTCAAAGGCTGGGCGTGGTGGGTCGGGAGAGCCACGTCCTGGGGAACCAGCGGGCCCGGGGAAGGGGGTTCCCGCCCCAGGGTCCCTGCACAGGCGGGTCGCGAGCTACGACAGGTGGCAACCGGGACGCAGGTGAAGTGAGCGCCGTTGGCCGCCGGCGCCTCTCACCTTTTTAACTTTGGCTTCCAGATCCATGCCGGTGTTCTAGAAGGATTCTCTCCTCCTTCCTTCTTGGGCAGCCACGCCAAGCTCGCCGGGCCTCCAGCTCCTTTGCTCGGACTCAGGGGCCACTGCCTCGGCGCTCAGCCTTCGAACTTCCGCTGCCCAATTAGTTCGCCGCAGCCGCCTTGCGGCTAGAACCGGGAACAAAGAAACGCGGGCAGCCAATGGCAACCGGGAAGCGCCGGTCCGCCGCCAATCACCGAGCACCCCCGCACCTTCACGGTCTGAGCGCGGCGCCGGCAAGGTGAGGGGCGGGGCGGCGTCGGGGGCGGTGTCCTGCGGAGTGTACGGAGCTCAGAACTGGAGACAGCCGGGCGGCGGCCGAGGCGACGGAGGCCCGCCCCTTTACAAGTTGGCAGTTTGTACCTGTGTTCCTCGGGACTTTAGAGCTCGGTCAAAAGGAGTAATTATCCTGGCACTAACTTCTTGGCTTATTTTCAAGGCAAAGGAAAACCAAAAGATTGTGAAGATTGTTGTGGAGACCAGTGATGGATGGGCTTTGATGCCCCTTTCTCCAGTGGGGCTTTTCTGAATAGCCCCTAGTGCTGGTATGGAGCCTTATTTCGCATCCTTAACCCAAGTGAAGGTTGCCATAGTGTTTTCCGAGTATTCGATTGTTCAATAGTTGGAATGGTACGAACGAAACAAATTCTTTTCAGAAGCAGAGGTCACTCTTGCCTCTCAGTCTTACTTTCATGAAGCCAGAGTTCTGCAGGTATCACAGCCTCGTAGAGGCACCAGAGTAGGATCCATTTCGTGTCCTCCTACAGGAGAAACTGCAGTGAGTACTGTCAGGTTGGTGAGTCTGAAAGTCTGGAGACAGAGCTACTGCTATCTATCTTTCAGCAACTTCTCCAAGATATTTGGAAAGAAGATACATTTTCTTCAGTTTATGTGATGGCAGAAAAGAATAATGGTCACACAGCAAGTAACTCTTAATCTGGCATCTGGGTTTAAAAAGTAAGGCAGAAACAAATAGAATTCCTAAGTAAGGCAGATACTTGGGTCAAAATGGCTCTCCATCTGTTTCTGGAAGTTTTATAACTGCAAACACTCCAAATGCATTTTAGCCAATGCTTTTAAGTCTGTTTTACTTTATCGTTTGTTAATAGTGTTCATCAGAACAATGACTTATAATGTGCATATTTTCCTTATCCTGTTATTAACTACAAGTGGAAAAAATAGATCATAATTTTTATTATTTGTTTTACTCAGTTGAAGTAAAACTTTCCTATCTCCATTTTCCCAAATCATCCTGATAGGCTTTGGGCCTCTTTGCCTAGTATAACTCTCGTAAATATGTGTGTGCTTCAACTGTGACAAGGTTTTTTTGCTTTCAGGGAGCTTAACAGATGGAAAATGTCTAGTAAAAAAGTTTTAATAAAGGATTAAACAAATGTTATAGTTTGGAGTAGTAGAGAAGACTCCAAGAAAATGCTCTGGAAATCTTTTTTTTTTGCATCAAATTCAGCCTTTCTCCCTCTTTTCCTTCCCAGGCCTCCCAGTGTCACTTCGTATGGGTATCACCAAAGAAATGGACATTGAAATTCAGTGACTGTCATCTGGAATTGTCACTCCGCAATTATGGAAAATTATTACTATATTATTTACAAACCTGTTACTGAAAATAAAGCCAATGTAGGTATGCATCAGTTTAGATTTCAAGTCCTTTTTCAGTTATTTATGTGCTAAGAAATAGAGATATTAAAAAGTTTGATGATTGCATATAATTGATTGTAGAGGAATGATTGGAGATTTCACACGCATTTGTAGCATAATGATCTCTGTGGATGACTCAAAGAGAGAGAAAAAGAGATGATGAGATCCAGGATTCGGGTTAGTTGTGCTGTTAGGGGAGTTAAAGATAAAAGGTATGTTTTGAATATATTGGATTTGAATTTGGAATAATGAAGTTATCTAAATTTCAGTCTTAGAATGAAACCTAGCCTAGGGTGGTGATTTAGGAGTCAACATTGTACAGGTGAATAAGAGTAAGAAAGTGATACAGGTACTAAAGAGTACAAATGAAAGTCCAGGAAAGGGTAGTGTTGGGCTTTATAAATGGGGTACTGTTTACAGAAGTGCTGTAACTAAGTCACGGAAGATGCAAAGGTGTTTTACTCATGACTTTCTGATTACAACTACCAGAAACTTCCTCATAGTAATTTAGTAATGATAATAATGATGATGCAAGATAGTATTTCATTTTAATGATACAAAGATACTCAAGAGCCAGAATGCTGGTACATAACATCCAGAGCTAAGATAGCTACTCCTTTTGGGGGGCCATATGGACTCATCTTGCTAGTCTGCCTATATCAGCTTTAGTTCTTACTCTTTGTAAATGATTTTCTGGGGTTTTTTTTTCTACACTTACACAGCCATACCATAAAGCAATCTCAGCTCATGAGCTGACTTTCCTTTAGTTCATGCAAAAGACCCAACTGGGGTTCAGTCTTTCCAGGAGAAAGACTTTGTCCCAGCTTGTGTAAGCATGGACACGATTGATTGAATCATTGGGACTGAAGCCAATTACGTGCTTATTGAGGCAGATAAAACAACACATAGACTGAATCTCAAACTGGTAGTCAGGACAGATCTCACAGAAAGGGAACAGCACGAGCTTTCCAAATACCTCCAAAGCCATGGTGCTATGGCTGTTTTAGGTACCGTGAAGAAATAAGCAAGATTTAGTGGCTAAGTGAAGGAAATTAATATTATTGATGTTGGAGAGCTATTGAAAAATTTGAAAATAATTTACTCTTCAGAAAGCCTACATAGTGGAGATATAGCTCAGTGGCATAGTGCCTGCCTGGCAAGTATGAGGTCCTGAGTTCGATTTCTGGTACCAAAAATTTTCTTTAAAAGCTTAAGTTTTATGTATATTTTTTTTCTTGATTGGATGGAATATAGGTACATAATGAGAGGAACAAATCTACAAAAGAGAAGATTGATGAATACCTTATAGCTAATGCCCACATGAAATATGATGGAGGGCCAAAGTAATGCAGTAGAAATAGAGAGTTAGAAGGAATTATCAAGATTTTAAAGAGGTATGAGCTATTAAACTTGATTGACTGGTTTTTGTTTTGTTGTTTGTTTTTTGTCTTTTTTGAGACAGGGTTTCGCTATGCAGTTCAGACTGGCCTTGCATTCACTTTGTAGCTCAGGCTGGCCTCAAAATCACGACATTCCTCCTGCCTCAGCCTTCTGAGTGCTGGGATTATAGGAGTATACTGCCAAGCCTAGTTTGATTGACTGTTGAAGGAGAGGATAAAAAGGCTACAATGAATTGTATTTTCCTATCTCTTAGGAATATATTTTAGGCAACAAATTTAATTGGTAATATCTAATACCTTCCTTTTATAGGAAACAGAAAAAAGTGAAATTTACTTGAGAAAGACAAGAGTTTAGTTTTGAATATACTGATTTTGCAAGACCAGTTGGCCTGATCTGGTGACCAAAAGAAACAATTGGACTGAAGTGACATGTGATGATATAGATAGATATAGATATATAGATATAGATATGCAGACCCTTATGCACACACATACAAAAATATACACAGATAAATTTATACAGAGTAAGCATACTGCTGTGCTTTGTGTCTAGATGTCCCCTCAAAGCCTCATGTGGTCATGGTGGGGTGAGCTTTTTGGAGGCAGCTGAATCTAGAGTTTGTGATTGATTCTTGGTCCTCCTAGAATTAAGGGTGTGAGTGCTACACCTGCCCTGGAGGAGTATGTAGCCTGCATACAGTATAAAGGACAAAAAGCAAGCCACGCCTTCTTTCTCTCATTGCTTTTGCTTTCTTCTGCCACTATGAACAGTTGCCCCTTTGCCATGTGCTACCCTGCTTTGGACCAGCAGATTATGGACTGAAACCTCTACTGTGAGGTAGATAAACCCTTCTTCCCTGAACTTTGCGTGATGAGTATCTTGTCTCAGAAATGAGAAAAGACACATACTATAAACAGCAGGGGACAAAATCATCAGAAAGTTTCCCATATTAGATAAGATAAGATTTCAAGATAAATATGACTACACCTTCATCCTCAATTATGTGGTCCCAGGAGATCTCTTCAGAGAAGTTAATAATTTATGAATACTTGTAATAGGAACTTCTCTGTACATCTGATACAGCTATTGTTACTCATTAGTAACATGGATATAATTACAATTTGTTTCTTTTTTTGATACTAGGAATTGAACTCAGGACCTTGTACTTGCCAGGCAGGCAGCTTGAGCTATATCCTTGGCCCTACAGTTTATCTTTTATGAATATTTCAATAGAAAACAGGTACCAACATATCTACAGCAAACTATTACCTTTTGTTTAAATTTACCAAACACTAGGATTTGACTCTCTGAATAATAGATGTGTCACATGATAGATTTAGCATAGATAGGGAACAAAGATACTTAGAAATTTATGTCATAGGAAATAATTATAATGTTGCAGTAACAAAATGGAACACAAAATTGTATACATACTATGCTCACATCTGTGCAAAAATACCACATAGAAGAAATGTGAAGAAAAAGTATTGAAATGGCCAGTAGCAGTTTATCTTTCATTGATGAGTCCATGATGATTTCCTCCTTTCTTTTAAAAGCATTTTAAACTGAAGCAGGATGAGCTCACGGCCAGCCTGAACTGCATAGTGAGACCATGTCTTAAAAAACAAAACAAAATGAAATGAAAAAACATTTTGTGAAGAACATGATATATTGCTTAATGGAATACCTTTACCTTAGACTATATTATTCAGAGCATTTTAGGGCAAATGACAGTGTAATTATCAATCTCTCTGAAACCAACATTAAATAGTAATTTAAAAAAAAATCAACTAGTTACCAAATGAAAACACAAAGGAGACATTTTGCAGTAAATTTCAGTACCTAGTATTCCATAAGCCCCAAAGAAAGGGCCCAAAAGACACCAAACATGTGAGTTAAATAGTTATGTTTCAGAAAGGGGAAGAAATAATTAGGTAGTGTGTGATGGGCAGAAGGACCTTCATCTAGTTATTTACTGTAAAGCATTTCATTTTACAGTAGCAGCTGAGAGGGTAAGAAAGATTGAAGCAATTGAAGCCACCAGCTGTTGTGCTATCTCAAAATTGGTATCTAGTTAGCACTGCTGTCCAGGACAAGGTTTCGAAATAAGAAGTGGCTTCCAGCAAAACCTAGGGTGAGTATGAATGGAAAAAGACACATGGAAAGGAGAAGTGCAGGGAAGTGAAATTCAGCATGCTTGCAACTAACCAACAAAATGGGTTTTTTTTTCAATTTCAGTTAAAATATTTAAGTAAAAGTAATAAATTTAAATTCCGGCTTTGCAATCACACTAGTCATACTTCAAGATCTTAACAGCTAGAAAGAAATAACATCAGGAATTCCAGAAGCATCTATATCTGTATGTCTCTATCTGTACATCTCTATCTATCTCTATACCTATATATCTCACCACTATACATCACTACTGTCTATATAATTATTACTATTTAATTACTGTAAATGTAGATCTGTAACCTTTCTGAAGTATGACAAGATTTTTAAAAACACATCATTACAGATGCCCTGGAAAAAAAAACTGAGCAGTAGTAAATTATCAAGGTCAAATTTCATATAAATTTATAAAAAGAAAAAAAAGACATATCTAGAAATAATGAGAGAGCATTTGAAATATGCATCCATAAATAGAACAAGACTGTAAGTTATTTTAAAACAAAATAAAGACATTAAAAGATTAATATGTATAAATAGTCATACAAATCAGAATTAGAAAAACTTAGAAGTAAAATGACAACTCAGGAAAAAATGGAAAATGAGAAAAAGAGTATTATATGATGAACAAAATAGTAAGACTAGAAGTGTGAAAAATCTGATAATATTTAAAGTGATAAAGTCTAAAAAGTTTTTTTTAATGAAAGGTAAAAAGTACTATGGAGAAAGTATCAAATGTTGAAAACAGACTACAAAGATGGAACATACAGATTTCAGGAATCTCAAAAGAGAAAAACCAAACCACAGGAAGAAATATCAAAGAATATAGTTCAAAAAAATTTCTTGAATTTAAAAATGATTTACTTAACATTATGGTCTCTAGGGGTATCCATTATCCTACTAATGACTCAATCTATCCTTCTTTATGGTAGAGTAGTAGTTATATATATATATATATATATATATATATATATATATATATATGGTAGAGTAGTAGTTATATATATATATTCATACATATACAGTAGTTATATATATATACACATATATATATATATTTTAATGCATTTATCATTGATGAAAATGTAGGCCATTTCCAAGATTTAGCTGTTATTATGCTGCTATAAACATGGGTATACAATAGTAGATACCCATTTAAATAATATATAACTCCTTTCATATGAGAAACCCAAAGTATAAATAACTTTAAAAACAAAATAAAAAGCAGACAACAGGAATCAGGGAAATTTCCTTTGCAAATGGGAAGAGAATCTAAATTGGAGGGAGGAGAGGAAAGAATACAAAGAATTAAGATGTGCTAAATACATTCATCTACTTCCTAAGATGAATATAAACATGTAATACATGTATTAATAAAAAATTTAAGAAGCAAAAATTAAAATGATTTAAAATTACATATCAAAAACACACTGAATATCCAAAACATCAACTCAGAAAAACAAATACCAACTATCTTGTAGTCAGATTTACTGGATTTATGTGTATTTTTTAAAAGCATATAATTTGTAGAAGAAAAAAATTATATAGTTATTACATAGTTAGTTTTCTACCTAACTAGATCAGAAGAAAATAGACTAAAATAAGATATTCAAGAAAAACACTGTGAATCCAGCATTTTATAGGAAATGACTTTCAAGGATGAACAACAAAGAGTTTTATCAACTTCAAGAAGCTGGGAAGCATTTCCATGAGCCCTTTCCAAGGAAGCTATAGAAACTAGCTTCAGACAGCCAAGGTTGATGGAAAGGCATTGACATAAGGAAGGAGGCATGTGTGTGTTTATATAAATTTCTGTGGGACTAAGACTAAGGTTAAAGAAGGAGAGAGTGAAATATATATTAACCTTATGACCTGACAATGTAGATCTAAATTAAATAAAGTGGCAAAAAAGTAAAATTCTAACATTTTTAGTATTCATATTGGTGGGAGTATTTACATTATTAAGCTGCAGTTAAGAAATAAAACAAGTAATTAGGGAATATTTTAATTTTACCACTCCCTGTGACTTTGAGAACTAAGATTCTATATATGGAGCAAAGACAGGTAAAATAAAATCCAAAAACTAAAATAGTTTATTATTTTGACTTTATATTTAACTGGCTGGCTAGCCATCCATCCGATTTTACTAGCTCTGGTAAAAATCAATAACCTCATAGCAATAAACCAGGTTTACATATTGTGATCTTGAAGTAGAATTTCTCAGTAAAAGGAACCAAAGCTTTTTGGTACAGTGGCTGATTCCAGGTGTAGAGCAGGAAAAGTATATGATGGGACTGTGATATGTTGTCCTAGAAGTGAGCAAGGAGGCTGTGAAAGAAACCTCCCGGGATGATGTCAGATGAAGTCAGAAATCAGCTGAAAGAGGCTGCCAAATGAGGTCAACTTGACCTTCATCACCGACAACAATTACAATGGATTGAATTCCATCAAATATGCTAAATTCCACAAAATCATTTTATTTAAAAAAAAACCGCTAATCAACTTTGGTAGTAACTAACTGTCCAAGGAACTACTAAGTAGAAAGAAAGAATTGAAGATTTACCTTGCCTTTCCACTGTGTAACTAAATATTAAAGAGAAATTGAGTCACAAGTATTCCAAGTAATGAAGAGTTAAATATCACCATTTCATAATAGTGAATGACATCATTGACTGTTACTATCATAACAAAAGAAATAATCAGATATTATGCATTAAATCTTTCCTAAAGGGCTACCAAAAGAATAACACTGATTCTGGTTCAATCTTCATAAATAGCTGCCAATTGACAGGAAATACATGGGCAAAACAATCTATTAAACTGCATGAAGGATACAAAATCAGCAAAATCCAGATTTTAGCAGACTCTAGAAATAAGATAATTGAAGTGTTTTAGCTGAAAAATTGTAAGAAAAAAAAATGAGAACTGATAGATTAAGAGACTTAAAATAACATGTCAATTGTTGTAAGGTGTGTTGGGAGCTCGACCGAGTGATATGAGGCCTGTGGTGAGGAGTGAAGCCTGAGCTAGATTGCCCCTCCCGTCGACCGAGTGATATGAGGCCTGTGGTGAGGAGTGAAGCCTGAGCTAGATTACCCCTCCCATCGAGTATGCCAAGATGGCGCCCATTTCCTGCTCCCTAGCTAGTAAACAACACGCCCTGTAAGCTAGTCTGCCCAGCAACAGCTGACGCTGGCCAATCAGCTCGTCTTGCCTACTTTGATGTGATTGGTCGATGTGTCCATATATATGCTGACACCACCCCTGGGGCGAAAACACACACCAAGAAGAGGGACTGCTGAGAGAAGCACACAAGGAGCCGTAGGGAACGGACCAGAGGAGGCTTCCCTCAGGCGGGATCCGAGATCCCGGAACAGGGCGTACGGAGAGAGAAAATAAATCAGAGGCTATCCGCCGACTACTCGTGTCGTGTGTTTTTTCCTGCCGGCCGGGATCGACACCGACATTTGGTGGCCCGTACGGGGAACTGATCACCCCCGAGGCGAGGCGGACGACGCTCCAGTATTGCTCTGCAGGACAGGTGAGTAGGGGATAAACCTGGGCTCTGGGTGGCGCGCACCTACAGGGCTTTTTAGACTCCCCTCAAGCTCACGTGTATGTGGCAGGTTAGCCTCACACGGTGAGAACGGACTCCTCAGTGACAGGCATGGGCAACTTACCCACTAAGAGTTCCAAGTCACTGGTAAGAGCGGTGAAAGACCTGCTCAAGATTTCAGGTATATCAATGAGCTCCAAGACACTTACGGAGTTTCTCCAACAAGTAGATGAGGCGGCACCCTGGTTCCTGCCGACGGGGCACTTGTCCCTACCTTGCTGGGAGAAATTAGGTAAGGATTTAGAGAGAGCAGAAGAGGAGCGCCGACTCCCACTTTCGGTTCGGCCGCTCTGGGAGATGATTCATTCATGCCTCAAAGGGGAGAGGAATGGGGCTAAGGATAGCGCAGATGGGCTCTCTCAGGCCCGCCGAGCTTTTGAAGGGGCCCGTTCGGAGTCCTCCCGAGAGGGGTCCGTCGCAGGGAGCGTGCGGAGGCGCTCGCGAGAGCGAGGCAAGAGAGAGGTACCCCCTGCCTCGGATTCCTCGGGCTCAGATACCTCGGAAGGCGAGGACAATGAGGCAAGTGACCCCCCTAATCCCTTTGCAGCTTTACGTAGAGACCTAGTCAAGATGCAGACAGACCTAGAGAAGGGAAGGAAACTCCTGAGCACTCCCCAACGGAAAGCCGTAGAGCCTTCCGCGCCACCCTGGGAGGTCCCAAACACCGGTTCCTGTGGTGAGATGGCGGCCTGGGGCCATCCTCCGTCACCCCCCCCATGGAGGGAGTGGCCTGGACCGTTGTCACATGTAGGGCCACCATCTTGTCTGCCTGGCGACCCGCCATCTTGTGCCCCAAAGACTGGTCGGCCATGTTACAAAGAGATACAATTTTGTGATAGGGAGGGACAGACATCTCATGGGGAGGCACCACCCTGTGAAAAAATGCCAAGGTCCCAGGGAAGGTATTTTCGTAGATGGACATTTAGAATGGAACAGATTCCTCAAGGGGCGAATGAGTATGAACAATGTGGGCTTTATCCGGTGCTCCTAGCGCAAGGCCAAGGACCCAATTACTGGGAACCACTGGAGATCAAGCAAATTAAGGAGCTTAAAAATGCGGTTGCCACATTTGGCCCTACTGCTCCTTACACTATAACTATGTTGGAGAATTTGTCTGCCGGTGGCTTTCTGACGCCCAGTGATTGGACCCAACTGGCTAAAGCCTGCCTGGCCCCCGGGGCTTTTCTGGATTGGCGCGCCTGGTATACTGAGTTTGCCGCCGAACAGGCTGAAAAAAATGCGGCTAGGGGCCATAGGGGGCAAAATGAGGATATGCTTATGGGTAAGGGTCAGTACGCTCAAGATCAAACTAGATTCCCTCCAAATGTGTATGAACAGATACATAACATAGGCATCCGCGCCTGGAAGCAGGTAAACAACACAGGGGTGGCCTCACAATGCCTCTCTAAAATTGTTCAGGGCAACACAGAACCTTTTGTGGATTTTGTGGCCAGAATGCAGGAGGCAGCTGACAGACTCTTTTCAGATCCGAGTGCTGCTGCTCCTCTTATTAAACAGTTAATCTTCGAACAGTGCACCAAGGACTGCAGGGCAGCCATAGCACCCCATAAAGGTAAAAACATAGAGGCGTGGATTAAAATTTGTAGAGAAATAGGGGGGCCATTATCCAACTCAGGCGTGGCTGCCCTTTTAGCCGCCGCCTTACAACAGACAGGGCCTCAGAAGACCAATCACCCTGGTAAGCCCAGGGGATGTTTCCAGTGTGGGGATCCCAGCCATATAAGGAAAAACTGCCCCAAGACCGGACAGGGGGAGTTTATATCCAAGAGACAGGAATCAGACAGACGAACGGGAACCTGCGAAAGGTGCGGTAAAGGTTCTCACAAAGCAAAAGATTGCAGATCTATTTTTGATGCCCAGGGGAACCGTATTAGTGGCAGGGAGACTACGGAGCCAAAAAACGGCCAGAGGGGGCCCTCCTTACGGACGGGCCCCCACTCCCTAGACAGGACAACACAAGATGGCACCCCCCCACAGGGGCCACCCCCGGGCCAGCAGGCGTGGACCTCTGTGTCGCCTCCAGACTCCTATTAACACCCGATATGGGCGTTCAGGTGGTTGAAACCACCTCCAAAGGACCACTACCCGACAAGCTAGTTGGTTTAGTGATTGGACAGTCCTCCACAGCCCTCCGGGGCCTTACCGTGATCCCTGGAGTTGTAGACCCAGATTATTTAGGAAACATCAAAATCATGGTACAATCTCATATAGGGACCATAGTAATTGATGAAGGGGATAAGATAGCACAACTTTTACTGTTCCCCAGTCTCCATGAGAGACCCCGGTCCGGTCAACGGGTTAGAGGGGGTCAGGGACTTGGCTCCTCTAAGGAAATTTTTGAAGGACTTCATATGACTCTTGATAAAAGGCCCATGCTATCGCTCAGGATTAACGGAAAAAAGATAACAGGACTCCTAGATACAGGGGCAGACCGTTCCATCGTCTCCAAGAAAGACTGGCCCCCTAGTTGGCCTACCAACACAGCTGACAACACACTCCAAGGATTGGGGATAGTGGCTGCCCCCCAGGTTAGTGCCGTGACCCTGCCTTGGGGTGATGAGGAAGGTCACCGAGGACATTTTCAACCTTTTGTCTTGCAGCTGCCAGTATCCTTGTGGGGAAGAGACGTTCTCACCCAGATGGATGTCACTCTTACATCCACCTGCTCTCCCCAAGCCAAAGGGATACTCAAAAATCAGGGATATGTCCCCGGCAAGGGCCTGGGCGCAGCCCTGCAGGGCCGGACATCCCCCGTACCTGTAGAAAAAAGGGAAGGTAGACACGGGTTGGGTTTTTCCTAGGGGTCACTGAGAAACTTCTCCTGCCCGCTCCAATTAAGATCACCTGGAAATCTCAAAATCCAGTTTGGGTGCCTCAGTGGCCCTTACCCAAGGAGAAGCTTTTAGCATTAACTGAGATAGTCAAAACCCAGTTTCAGGCGGGACACGTAAAGCCGTCAACCTCCCCTTGGAATACCCCTGTCTTTGTTATCAGGAAGAAATCAGGCAAGTGGAGGCTGCTCCATGATCTGAGGGCTGTCAACTCACAGATGCAGCCCCTGGGGGCGATCCAGAGGGGACTACCAGCCCTCTCAGCCATCCCTCGGTCCTGGCCAGTTTATGCCATAGATCTTAGAGACTGTTTTTTCTCAATCCCCCTGCATCCAGAGGACACCCACAGATTCGCCTTTACCCTACCCACCATTAACCAAGAGAGTCCTGATCAGAGGTACGAGTGGGTTACATTACCCCAGGGTATGGCCAACAGTCCCACCATGTGTCAGATGTATCTTGATTTTCTACTGGCCCCCTTGCGTGAAGCCTTCCCCAGAATTAGATGTATTCATTACATGGATGATTTGCTAATCAGTGCAAAAGATGTGACTGAGTTGGAGGATATGCTTGGCCAATTGGTCAGGGCCCTGAGAAAGGCAAATTTACATATTGCCCCTGACAAGATTCAGGGAGGAGACATAGTGACCTACCTGGGCACCAAAGTCTCCCCCACATCGATTTCTCCACAAAAGGTAACCATCAGAACAGATAGCCTAAGGACCTTGAATGACATGCAAAAGCTACTGGGAGATATAAACTGGATCAGACCTTATTTACACATCCCTAACTCGGACTTAAAGCCCCTGTTCGACCTCCTGAAAGGAGACCTGGATATTGCCTCCCCCAGGGAGTTCACCCCGGAAGCCAGAGTTGCTCTGAGAAAGATAGAGGAAGCCCTAAGTACAGCTGCATTGCGGAGAATTGACTCAGAACAGCCTTTTGAGGTCTGCTTGTTGCAGACCGTTTCTCAACCTACGGCAGTGATTTGGCAAAAGGGACCACTTTTGTGGGTGCACCCTAAGGTCTCACCTGCCAAGATTATCGAACATTATCCGGAAACGGTCGCTTCCCTGGCCTTGGAGGCACATGGCAGGGCTATCCAACATTTTGGCTCTGCACCCCATGCTATTCGGGTACCTTATACCGCTTCTCAAATAAAAATCCTGACTGCTTGTATAGATACGTGGGCCATCCTGAGATGTGTTTTTCTTGGGGAGATAGACAACCAGTTCCCCAGGGACCCCATACTACAGTTTGTTACTCAACATCCGGTGATATTTCCAAAAATCACCGCGTCCACACCACTTACTCCTGCAACAACGATCTATACGGACGGGTCAAAAACCGGGATAGGGGCTTATGTGGTCTCAGGTATGCCTCCGATCAGCATACAATTTGAACCAGATCAACCACAGGTGGTAGAGTTACAAATTGTACAAACCGTCCTCGAGAAGTTCCCAGGGGCCCTTAATATTGTTTCTGATTCAAAATACGTTGTTAATGCCATGCAGGTCCTTGAGACTGCGGGCCCGATTAAGCCAACCTCCAAAGTGACTAATTTGTTTTTGTCTATCCAGACTCTGCTGATAAATAGACACAACAAAATATACATCACTCACATAAGAGCACATACGCGCCTGCCAGGGCCCATGGTACAGGGCAATGCGGCAGCTGACGTGGCCACTCGCCCGTTGTGGATACTCAATATGTTATCTTCAATAGAACAAGCCCGTCTGTTTCATGACAGATTTCATGTCAACGCCAGGACGTTAGCCAACCAGTACCACATTTCCAGGGCTGACGCGCGGGACATCGTACGGTTATGCGGCTCTTGCGCCACATACACACCCGTCGTATCAACGGGAGTTAACCCCAGGGGATTGATTCCTGGCGACACTTGGCAAATGGATGTCACACATATGATAGAATTCGGATCTCTTAAATATGTTCATGTCTCTACGGACACCTGCTCTCATATTATATTTGCGACTGCTGAAACTGGCGAAAAGGTGTCTCATGTAATCAATCATTGCCTGACAGCTTGGGCCGCATGGGACAAACCAAAAATATTAAAAACTGATAATGGACCAGCTTATACAAGCAGAGCCTTTAATGAGTTCTGTGAAAAAATGGGGGTACAGTTAAAACATGGCATCCCATACAATCCCCAAGGTCAAGGAATTATTGAAAGGGCTCATAGGAGCCTTAAAGATATTCTACAAAAACAAAAAGGGGGAATAAGTCAGGGCCTGCCCCCAAAGGCACGGCTCTCCATGGCACTGTTCACATACAATTTTCTGAACCTGAATAACAACAATCACTCCCCGGCCATGGAACATTGTAATCCATCTCCTGGCAATAGGGGATGGGTGAAATGGAAAGATGTCCTGACGGGACAATGGATGGGCCCGGATCCAGTAGTTAGCTGGAACCGAGGTGCGGTTTGTGTTTTCCCGCAGGAACCAGGACGAGAACCATTGTGGGTCCCAGAACGGCTGACGCGTGTGGCGAATCCAACGAAACATAATGCAGGAGACACTCCAAAACTCAACGGCAGCGGACAGCCTAATCAAGATCGGTCCGACCAGGATATTGCTGCTCGACCGAGGAATACCGTATGACTTATGGGACACAGTAATGATTATGCTCTCGATAGTAATTGGCTCTCTTTTAGGGTACGGTGCAGCCAGAGTGGCTAGGCCACGCCGCCTTCCGGCAGCCCCCTTCCTTCTGGTTTTGATGCTCACCACCACTACTGAAATAGGAGCAGACTTGGTGTGGGCAGCAATACATCATCCGCCAGCGCTAGCCGCTATCTCCACCACAGCCCCCTCTCTCCCAAAGTTGTATGCAAAAAACTGCTCCGCCAGATTGCCTTGCATACCAGATATACCGTTAACCATCAGACCCATACGTTTTGACCTTCCCATCACCAATGACGTGGTCATTTTTTCCACTAATAGTAACCCCTCGTGTCACCGGGGATCCTGCGTTAGCTTCCTGCCCCTCCTTGTAAAATGGTACAATACCTCCCTGACGGTGAGGTTGTCTGTCCCATCCCTGCATTCGCCTGGATGTTTTAAAGCTGGCACACTTAGCGGCGGAGTCATCACTTTTAACTCAACCTGCAAACCCCGAGCAGCCATGCACACCCGTCCCGATTTCCCCACATGCCCATACCGTGTGTCCCCAAGCCGAAAAAGACAGATGGTGGACCTGTCACAACTTTCATGGCAGCCCTGTACTGTCGACGGCGTGGGAGTGACTCATCTAAACATGTCTTGGTGGTCCCGGTTCTCTCCTCCATCCGGTAGTAACAACATATTCGCGTTGACCTGGTGGGAGTCCTACCTGAGAGTGAACAACAAGTGGGCAATAAGCTTCCCCTTCCCCCTTAATGAAAATTGGTTGTGCCTCTCCACCGGAGCCTGCATGGACTTAAGACCCATGCTCGCTATTAACGCTTCTGCCTCTAATGGAACCACCAATGTCACCCTTAATTCTGAGGCTGCATGCGTAAAACCGCCCTACTTATGGGTATTCTCTGCTGACATCTCCTTTAAGTGCAGTAACCAACCATGCTTTACAGGGAACTGCTGGAATGGGTCTTTCCCGTATGCTATGTTGGCTCTTCGACCCCCACTGATGTGGGTTCCCTTTAACGAATCTGTTTGGGTTCATCCCGTCTATCAGCAGGACCAACTACCCATGCTCAGACGTAAGAGAGATTTTGGGATCACAGCGGCCCTGACAGCACTGTTCGTGACTCTGACTGCGACGGCTGTGACGGCTGCCGTTGCTCTGACCCAGTCTACGCTGACGGCTCAGGCCTTTACCAATCTTACGGACACCACCTCCCTGGCGCTGAGGGAGCAACAAGAAGTCAACCTCCTCCAGCACAACGCCATAATGGCGTTACAGCAGCAGATCGACCTAATCGCTCAGGAAGTCCAGGGACTCTGGGAGGTGGCTAACAATTTATGTGACGCCAGATGGGCATTCACCCAGTTGTGCGTTACCCCCATCCAGGTCAACCGTTCGGCTTACAGGCAATTTCAGGATTATGTTCTCACCACCTATAATTCTTCCTTTTGGAACGCTAGCGTGCGCCTGGATATGACTATCCGGCAGCTAGATCAGATAGAGGTGCCTATACTTACAGCCTCCTTTTTTGATGATGTCCTAAGCCAGATAGGCTCCTTCTTCAAACCTTCGTCACTTCTTGCGTATGGGATCATTCTTGCTCTTGTGATTGTCACTCTCGTGACTCTTAGGTGCCTGCGGTCGATAAGGGCGACCCAAAAGACACATATGACATTGATGATGTTGCTGGCCCAGAGTCAAGGGGATTCCACACCTAGCGTTTTCTGGGCTCAGGCTAGAAAGGCACGGCTCCTTTAACCAGTACGTGGCTGCCCTCGCCATTATTCTTACGGATGTTCTAGTATTATTACGTACGTCTCCTTCCCCGTCGCGGCTGCGAACTTAGACTAGAAGGACCCCACGCTTAAGGCGTGTTCCCATTGATAATTAGAAAATAGTAATTAGTGATTGTAGTGAACGGGGATTATGGTTGGTAATTAGTAATTACGCGGTTCCTCAAATGTCACTCGGCTGACCCCTCCGTGTCTCCCCCAAGATATAAGCTTTAAGAGTTGAGTGGGCAAGCCAACGACGGGTAAGACGGGAGAAGTTCTCCTGATCAACCTAAGACAGGCTCTACTCCGAGGGTCCTCTAGGGAGTGAGAGTTATGGCATTGAGATGCGAGACCAAGGGTACTGCAGTGCCATCCGCCTCGAGGGTTGAGGGGAAGGCAGGAATGAATGTCTATATGCATCCAGGTTCGGTTCACAAAAGCCTGGCCCTGCGAAAAAATGAACCACTCACCTTGAGCATGGTCCTGGCGCAAGGATATGTACGAGACAAGGTGATGCACAGCAGGGTATAGACCTCTACATTCTCTCATGCCTCGGCCTGCGAAATAGGCCCACTCCCAGACACCTCACATGGACCCACAGACCGCCCTATCTTAATAAATAAAGAAGGGGGAGATGTTGGGAGCTCGACCGAGTGATATGAGGCCTGTGGTGAGGAGTGAAGCCTGAGCTAGATTGCCCCTCCCGTCGACCGAGTGATATGAGGCCTGTGGTGAGGAGTGAAGCCTGAGCTAGATTACCCCTCCCATCGAGTATGCCAAGATGGCGCCCATTTCCTGCTCCCTAGCTAGTAAACAACACGCCCTGTAAGCTAGTCTGCCCAGCAACAGCTGACGCTGGCCAATCAGCTCGTCTTGCCTACTTTGATGTGATTGGTCGATGTGTCCATATATATGCTGACACCACCCCTGGGGCGAAAACACACACCAAGAAGAGGGACTGCTGAGAGAAGCACACAAGGAGCCGTAGGGAACGGACCAGAGGAGGCTTCCCTCAGGCGGGATCCGAGATCCCGGAACAGGGCGTACGGAGAGAGAAAATAAATCAGAGGCTATCCGCCGACTACTCGTGTCGTGTGTTTTTTCCTGCCGGCCGGGATCGACACCGACAAGGTGCACAAAGATAAACCTAAATCATTTTATCTATGAATGCCCAGTTGAGTGATGACTCTAAAAATGAATGATATAATTACCATAAAAATAAAAAAATCAGTATAATTGTAATTTATGGGGGTGGGAGTTGGCTATTGTGGTGGATTAACAACAACTAATGGTCAGTTTGTAACACCTAGCTGAACTGAATCAGCGTGGTGCTGGGTATAGAAACCCCACCTGAGCATTGTTGCCTATCGCATAAAAAAGAAAGCTGGAGGGAAAGATGATGGCTGTTGATTCTTCTGGAGAACTTGACACACTGGCTTTCTTGATATAAACTCAGATGTTCTTATCCTCAGAGGAGCTCAAGTCCTCACTGTCACTGAGGATGGCTGTGTTTGCTTCTTTGGGGTTGCTTCCTGGCTCCAGTGCCGATTCCTCAGCCTGCTGCCACAGATCCTGCACCATGCTGGCGCAGACTTTCCAGCTTCCACCAGGAGACATTGCCTGGGCTCTAGGCCTCCAGCTGGACTCATGGAGGACATTGTCATGGGCTATAGGTCTTCCTGGGGACTTATGCAAGACATTACAATAAGATCCAGGCTCTCAGCTGGATTCTTTGGGTCTCTAGTGTGTGAACAGATCTCCTGCACTCTTTTGTATTTGACTTTCTGGGTGAATGTTATAAAATAACCCTATAAATTGTGTCCTGTGTTGTTTATTCCCTTGTAAACCCTGACTATAACAGTTACGATTAGGATGGAGCAAGTTGGTAAGATTTCTTGGGTACCTTCTAATTTTCCAGAACAAGGGTTCCGGAAGAAGTGGAGGAGACTCTATGAAGTAGCTTCATCATACACTGACCGATTCTTTTTTCCTCATACATACATTTCCAATATCCCTATCCCAAAATTTATCAAAATGCATGTCTTATTTAAATACATTTATACTTACCCCTTCCCAGGTCAAATAAAACTACCATATCCAATGCTAAATCCAGCACTCTTGAATATTATAAATTTATGTCATTTAGTTCTACGTGTGACTCATGATTCTGTTCAAATATGATAATTACAATCAACAGCCAACTTAGGTAATATGGAGTGGGTATGTTTATTAGGACTGTTACAACAGATTACCTCAAGTCAGATGGCTTAAAACAATAGAAATGTATTTTCTCACAATTGTGGAACCTAGAAATCTGAAATTGAGGTTTTAGTAGGAACATGCTTTCTCTGAAAAATCTCAGAATCTCTCTTCCCTCTTCCTATGGCTTAGAGCTGCATCATTCCAACCTTACATGGCCATTGCCTCTTAATACATGTTTGTGCCTGAATCTCTTTCCTCCTACAAGGAGTACAATGTATCTTCCTCTTAACTAATTATATGTGCAAAGACTCTTATTTCCAAATAAGCTTACATGCTGAAATTCTGGGTGGATATAAAATTTTGGGGGTCAATGTTCAACTGATTGCAAATGAATTTGCTTTTGTTTGGGGAATAAATTCAAGATAGAATAAAACTTTCATAAAAAATCAATTTTGTTCATTTTAATTCCATAGCAGATACAGTACAGGTCTAGAAATATAAAAAAAGACATTATTATCAGTAGGATTAATTTCTTACTCTTCTAGTTTGGATATACTTGGTTCTTACTGATGGAAAACTTGTGTCCCTTATTTGAGATTTTTCTTTTGAAGAGCTGGCCTATCCATGAGAACACATTTTTGGAAGATGAAGGATTCAAGATATCATAAAATGAGCCATAGGCTATTTTTGCCAGAATTGAGACTTCAGTAACTAACTCCTGTCATTTTTTTTTCCAGGAAAACCTTTAAATTAATATTCATTAACCATGGAAATAATGTCATTTTAGACCAGAGCATCTTTGTTGGTGGTGACTGTTTTGTCTAGTGTAGAATATTTAGCAGCCCCTGACCTCAACTTACTAGACTCTGGTAGCACCCTGTCCCACTGAAAATGTCTCCAGACCTTACCAAATATCTCCTGGGTGGAAAAATCGTGTCCAGTTGATACTCACTGCTTTACATGATGCCAGAATTCTATTACTGAGTAAAAACAATCCTATTACTTTGTGAATGTAAACAACTAAAAATATTTATTTTGCTCATGCATGTGCATGTGAGCAGGAAGGCAAAAGTACCTAATTTCTGGGCCAGGGATTTAGCTCAGCAGCATAAGTGCCTGCCTGACAAGCACAAGGTCATGAGTTCAATCCCCAGTACCAAAAAACAAAGCAAAACAACCTAATCAACCAACAAAAAACACCTAGTTTCTGATGTATGACATCAGCTGAGAGCCTTAACTGGAATACTGCACGTGGCTTCTCTTGATTGGCAAGTGGATGCTGGCTGTCAGCTGAAACTCCATTCCTTTCCAGGTGGACTTCTTCATACCATGGTGGCAGAGTTTCCAAAGAAAATGTCCCAAGACAATGAAGTAGAATTCATGATGTTTTTGTGATACAGCCTTGAAAGTCATACACTGTCACCTGTGTCATGCTATGTATTGTTGGAGATAATCACAAAGATCTGCCCAAGTTTAAGAACTATAAACACCACATCAATGGAAGGAGTGTCACAGTCACAATTTTTAAAACATGGGATTGGAAATATTGTTGCAGTATTTTTATTTTTTTTTTTTTGAAAATGTAATAGTCTGTCATCTGCCTTAAGGACACAAAAGCTTAAATTTTGGTCACATGCCAAATATAATGATTTTGGCTGTAAGAGCTTATCTCCATGGTTCAAAGTCTGGTATCTGTAATCTAAATCATATCTATTTGTAGATGGTGCTCTTTAAGTAGAGATAACTCATTATAGCTCTAAATATCATTCTTCTTGATCTGAAAAGCTCTAACCTAAAGGTAAAAGTTATCTGACTCTCACCTACACTTAATGTACACAATGGGACGGTCTTAGAATATCAGCTATACACAATCCTTTTCAAGTAGTTAAAACAGGAAGCATAAGTACTGTTCCATAGCAGTTCTGAAATCCAGCAATCACTTACTGTCTATTAGGACTCACTTCTGTTGCTTAGTATTTTGGATTTCTGGCCATAGAGGAAAGGGCTTCTCCCAGTAAATTTGTTGATCCATCTTGATAGACTCCTTTTTTCTTTCTACTACACAAGCTCAGATCATACCTGTCTCAGTCTTACTACTTATTGAAAGTTACAAAGATTCACTAACACCTTTCTACCCTTACATTCACCATGGAATTCTCATGGTTTTGTGTCCTTAAAAAACTGGAAGAGACTTAACCAACTCTCTCAATATTTTCAAAGGCTTATCTTGGTGTCAGATATTTCATCTCAGCAAGAATAGTAGCTAAGATACATGACTACCTACCTCAAACAGAAACCTTGTATGATCTCTGGTTGTCTTGTTATTGTGTAATTACATATGACAGAGAGACAATCTGAACTGGTTTAAACCCACTGGGTTGTATTGGCTCCATGTGACAATGAGAGGAGGATGAATTATAGTACTAAATAGAGATTTAAACACCATTAAGAACTAACAGTCTCTCTTCACCAGGTTTTTCATGTCATGGCTACAGAAAATTAGGTTTCATCTTCAATAACCGAAAAGGTTTCTTCTTCACAAAATCAGGTTTGAAGAATCATAGGAATGATCTATGATCATGTTTTCTCATTAAAGACTCATATGATGTTATTACCAACTTCTGTCCTTTATAATCTTAAGGCAAATACTGACACAAAATATTCATTTTCTACTCCCAAGAACAAAAATCTTCTTTGTTGATTGAGAAAATGCCATACTATTGTGCTGAAGTATACTAAACTTATTTTAACCTAAAGTAAGTTAGAGAGAACAAAGTAGCTTTTGAACTGTTAAATCAACTTAGAAATTTTGTAAAAATATACAAATATAGTCTATTTCTTCTAAAAGCAAACATTAAATATTAACTATAATGCACAGTATATTCTCAGTATATTTTTTGGCAGACAAAGAAAGTAGGATCATAAAATAAAACTATGAGATGTTATAGCATTGATTGTATTGAAGTAATTTGCTAGGAATCCCTGTGTGTCTTGGGATAAAATATTTCTTTGTGGGCAACTGCAGTGAATGTGAATGATAGTTGTGGAGTTATTGCCCATGACAGTATGCTCTTAAAGCAAAAAATACTTTTTAGAAATAAGTAATGAGGGTTTTTGAACATTTTATTCATTAATCAAAATATCTATAGAGATTTTCTCTGATTAAAGAACCATGAGGACAATGAAAATTTAAATGAATTTCAAGGCTTACATTGTTTTCCTATTGTTAAAAATTATATTCTCAATAATGTAATAATGGCTTTTCTAGTAGTACTGCAGTACAGTTTTTAAGTACACAAAAAGGGAAGTTGACATGAATATGAGACAGTGTGCCGTCTGATATTTCTATAAGACTCAAAGCAAACATGTAATTGTGAATTTTAACACAGAACCTTCACTTAATAAATTATTACTACATACTTATAGTAAAATAGTAATTTTTGGTAGCAACATTCTTCTACCTATTAAATATCATTTAATATATTTTCTAACTTTAAAAACTTATGAGACATCTCATTTTTAAAACTGCCTTTCCTTTGGTGAACCAATTCCTTGGAACTCAATATGCTATGGCTAATGGAAATGTACTTTTAAGATTGCCTCTTCACTGTAATATAAATATGAGTCTCTGGCAAGCCTCAGTGTGAAAAGCCAGTAATTTGTTTTTCATAAGTGAATCAGTCCAAAAAAGGGATAGCACCAGCCTAGTGGTGACTATTTTAGTGCAGCTCTTACTATGATAGTTTGGCAAGAAGGAAAATCAATTATACTTCTGAAAGATATGTACATTCTGTTCACTTAAAGCTCAGACCTTTAATTCTTGGAATTAATATGAAAAACATAACATTTGCTTCTGTCATAAGAAGATGTAGAAATTTC